TATATATATATATATATATATATATATATATATATATATATATATATATATATATATATATATATATGTATATCCATCGGACGCCCCAAGATGCTACCTATGATCAACTCGGTTAGTAGTGTTAATAAAACTACAGTATCGTGTTTCACGGGAGCACTAAAACCAGAGTCGTAAATCCAACTTCAGAAATACATCATTTCGTAATTTTTAAAAAAAAGTTAAAGATAGTAGTTTGTGTGCCCCTAGTTAGGCTGAATTGAAATCGACCGTTTTTACTAAGAAAAAGAAAGGAGGGTCGGGGGATAAAGCTTGCATAACACTGCACCTACCCATATTCTAACCTTTGCCTAAAAAACGACACCACCAATACCGTATAGCCCTACCGGCTAACATAGAACAATCAAGATCACCAAGTCTTAGCGTAAAATAACGGTAAGGTGCCTCTACTAACCTTAACATGTTGGGCCGAGCAACACTGAGCAAACTACACCAACCTCCAACAACACGGGTGTGACATTGTCTGAACTACAACTACAACCTAGTTCTCGGTTAGCTAGAGTCAGAGGGAGATGGCTGAGGAATGTAAGATTATGTACCGTCGGGCGGTAGGAGGGAGGGGGGTGGGGGATCAAACTTGGCTCGGTTCCATCGCGATCATGGCCAGAGTGACGGGGTTGTGTGGTCAGCTTCATGCACAGCTGCTGTTTATTTTCCCCCGGTTCGAATCCCATAGGCCTATCCTTTAGGAAAATCACCGGACTCAGGTCTAGAGTTCTACCACTCGACCACCCCATTGCGAAGTGTTGCTGTTGTTATCTTTTCTTCAGATAAATGTTTGTGCGTGTGTGTGTGTGGGGGGGGGGGGTAACAACATTGACCATTTCTATGAGGGGAGGGGGAGTGATACAACATTGACCATTGCTACTGGGGGGTCGGGAGGGGGGAGTGATACAACATTGAACATTGGGGGGGGGGAGGAGTGACACAACATTGATCATTGCTGTGGGGGGGGGGGGGGGGGGGGGAGGGACACAAGATTGACCATTGGTGTGGGGGAGGAGGGGAGGGGAAGTGACACAACATTGACATGGGGGAGGAGGGGAGGGGGAGGTGACACAACATGACATTTAATATGGGAGGAACTGACACAACGTTGACGATTGCTACCTACAGACTAGATCTGAGACGACAATAAGCAAGCCCCAGAGGAAGCTACACTGCAGCTACACAGTAGACGAAACAAAGAACTGATTTACAATGAACACATCCCACGTGACCCCAACACGTCACTGATCCAATGTCATTTCTCTTATATTACCGCGTCCATTGTGTGCTATAAATAGGCAAAATGGCTGTAGCATATAGGTAAAGGTTTAGTAGTTAGATATATTTACCGAGTTCTTGAGATAGGGATATCGAATAAAATAAATTCCTACTTTCACTTTCATGGTAAAACGAAACAAATAGTTTAACGATAAAGAAAAAAAATCTACGAACTTCTACTAACTATAAAATCAGAAGTGTACAATGCGGATGTGAAGTAAGCTACAAAGTGTCCTTAAGTCGGGCACTGCAATATATATATATATATATATATATATATATATATATATATATATATATATATATATATATATATACACACACACTATAGTAGGTTGTAAGGACAGGGATTAAAAATGTAGGAGAATCGTCAGTGTCAGCGTGGATTTGTGCGTGGTAACACTGAACATGCTTGTAGACCTGTAAATTAACAGAACAATCAGTGCGACGTGTCTATGGGCTGGCTTGATGCAGTCAGCACCTGTCAACTGTTTCCTCTCGGGACGGGAGGGGGGGGGGGGGAGGGGGAGTCGTTGAACATTCTGCACAAAATGTCTGTTCATGGAAACGGTTTTAAATTTAGCATGTTACGGTGCATGCACACATAATGTACACACACTCGCTGGCTTACACACTGGTGTACAAGCACCCGTACGCCTGCCGTTTGGAACTACATACAATAATATGCACATACAATGCCAACACACTGGCGTACAAGCAGTCATACGCCTGAAGTGTTGGACTACATACACATAACCGCATACACACATTATCACCAACCAACACACTAGTATACACGCAGCCATACGTATAGGACTGAAGGTCATTGCTGATGTAGGTCAGCTCAAAAAAATATAATGAACTGTGACATTACTCCCCCCCCCCCCTATATCAGCCATTCGGTAGACACAACATTGGTCTTCTTTTGTGTACATTATGTTACAGAGGTGGGGGGGGGGGGCGTGTGTGTGTGGGGGGGGGTGCAGGTGACACGACACGGTCCACATGCGGTGTGTGAAAAACGTGTGACCCCAAACACGGCGACGCGGGTCGTGTGTGTGTGCTTTGGCGACTTTTAAGAAATCTGGCAATCGCTTCAGACGTGTTATGTAAACATTCCAATCGGCAACAACGAACTTTTGAACGCCGCCAAATATTGGAAGCCCGCTGAATCTGGGCAAAAACAAACGCGATTTTTATTCTTCCGTAGTGGCAGCTAACTAAAGAAAACTATACATGGACCCAAAGCTAACGCTAGCTCAAAACCTAACCCTAATTATTAATATTTTATCTAAAACAATACCTCTGTTTGTTAATATGATTAATTGGTTTGTTTAAAATTTAATTTGGGAATTTTATTGTATTAAAACACATTAATCATAAAATTAGTTTATCCAATCCAAGTTACAATTGTAGGCCTACTACATAAGTATCAAATAATATAAATTTGAATACAAAATTTGCCAATTATGAAATTCAGGTAAAATCCAACATTAACCGTTAAGGAATTTCAGTTGAAATTTAAAATTTGTAGTAATGTTTTCTTTCCTTTCATACGTATTAATGCTTGGGAGAGTCTAAGACATGTTTTAACCTTGGGACAGACTGAGACATGGATTAACTTTGGGACAGTCTGAGACATAGATTAACCTTGGGACAGCCTGACATGGATTAACTTTGGGAGAGTCTAAGACATGTTTTAACCTTGGGACAGACTGAGACATGGATTAACTTTGGGACAGTCTGAGACATAGATTAACCTTGGGACAGCCTGACATGGATTAACCTTGGGACATCCTGAGACATGGATTAACCTTGGGACAGACTGAGACATGGATTAACTTTGGGACAGTCTGAGACATAGATTAACCTTGGGACAGCCTGACATGGATTAACTTTGGGACAGTCTGAGACATAGATTAACCTTGGGACAGCCTGACATGGATTAACTTTGGGACAGTCTGAGACATAGATTAACCTTGGGACAGCCTGACATGGATTAACTTTGGGACAGTCTGAGACATGGATTAACCTTGGGACAGTCTGAGACATAGATTAACCTTGGGACATCCTGAGACATGGATTAACCTTGGGACAGCCTGACATGGATTAACCTTGGGACATCCTGAGACATGGATTAACCTTGGGACAGCCTGACATGGATTAACTTTGGGACAGTCTGAGACATAGATTAACCTTGGGACAGCCTGACATGGATTAACTTTGGGACAGTCTGAGACATAGATTAACCTTGGGACAGCCTGACATGGATTAACCTTGGGACAGTCTGAGACATGGATTAACCTTGGGACAGCCTGAGACATAGATTAACCTTGGGACAGTCTGAGACATGGATTAACCTTGGGACAGCCTGACATGGATTAACCTTGGGACAGCATGAGACATGGATTAACCTTGGGACAGTTTGAGACATGGATTAACCTTGGGACAGCCTGAGACATGGATTAACCTTGGGACAGTTTGAGACATGGATTAACCTTGGGACAGCCTGAGACATGGATTAACCTTGGGACAGCATGAGACATGGATTAACCTTGGGACAGTTTGAGACATGGATTAACCTTGGGACAGCCTGAGACATGGATTAACCTTGGGACAGCATGAGACATGGATTAACCTTGGGACAGCCTGACATGGATTAACCTTGGGACAGCATGAGACATGGATTAACCTTGGGACATCATGAGACATGGATTAACCTTGGGACAGCATGAGACATGGATTAACCTTGGGACAGCCTGTGACATGGATTAACCTTGGGACAGCATGAGACATGGATTAACCTTGGGACAGCCTGTGACATGGATCAACCTTGGGACATCATGAGACATGGATTAACCTTGGGACAGCCTGAGACATGGATTAACCTTGGGACATCATGAGACATGGATTAACCTTGGGACAGCATGAGACATGGATTAACCTTGGGACAGTCTGACATGTTTTAACCTTGGGACAGCCTGAGACATGGATTAACCTTGGGACATCATGAGACATGGATTAACCTTGGGACAGTCTGACATGTTTTAACCTTGGGACAGCCTGAGACATGGATTAACCTTGGGACACAGGTAGAGTAATACAAGAGAAAAATATATCATGCAGCATCTTCGTTCAAAGTATGCACACTTATAGAAAGAAATACATGACAGACTCGGTGTATACTAAGACAGGTTCGATGCACTTGAACTTAGGTATGTTGGAAACAAGGACAGCTACAATGTATATGGTAGCGTAAATAAAGACAGTCTATGTAAATGAAGACAGGTACGGTGTAAATGCAGACAGGTACAATTTAAATGATAGTGCAAATAAAGACAGTGTATATGCAGACATGTAGAGTGTAAATGGTAGTGTAAATAAAGACAGGCTATGTAAATGAAGACAGGTACGGTGTCAATGGTTACGTAACTAATAAAGGTTATGTATATGAAGACAGGTACAATATAAATGGTAGTGTAAATAAAGACAGGTGATGCAAATGCAGACATGTATAGTGTAAACAGTAGTGTAAATAAAGACACGTGATGCAAATGCAGATAGGTAGAGTGTAAATGGTAGTGTAAATAAAGACAGGCAGTGTAAATGAAACAGGTACAAATGTAAATCGTGGTGTAAATAAATAAAGTGTAAATGCAGATGTGTACATGTCTTACCCAGTGGACCCAGCCCTCGGTAGATGCCCCCTCTCTCCCGTCTCATCAAGCGTGCTGTTGGATCCGAACTCCACATCCTCGTACTCAATGTTCAGCTTCCTCAGCCTCTCTCGCTCCTCGTACTCCGCCATGGTCATCCTCTCTATGGGCGCCCGGATGTAGTCTGCCTCGGACGCCTCCACGTCCAACTCGAAGATGTCCAGACGCTCCACATACCCCAGAACTAGCCCGCTGTTTACAGGAAGACCGATGTTTTTATGTCGTTCTGGTGCTTTATCTGAAACCACGCACGGTAGTTCGTCTTTTGGAGATGGCAGGGGGTTTGTCGCTGCTTCACAGGGCAACGGAGCTTCAGTTTTCTGTTTGGGTGAAAATAACGATGTTTTTGCTTTTCGCGACCAAGTCGAAGAAGGTGTATGAACAGGTTTTTTGGATTGTACAACAAGGAACAATTCTTTCATCGATTTCAGAATCTGAACATCAACTGGTAATTCTTTGAGAATGTCACTTTCAGACGCGTCAGGGAAAGACGCGACCTCTTGCTTAGGGATAGGCGCCGCGCCGGAAAGTAGGTCTTGGAGTGTTACCATCTTCCTGCTGCTGTGGTCGGTGGTGATGGCCATGTTGATTTCAAAATCTAACGGCAGTTTTAGTTTTGTGGGTTCTCCGCCGTCGGGGTCTAATCTGAAACATTTGAGAACCTCGCAGTCCCGAGCGGCATGTTTCATCTTGATGAAGTAAGGATTGTTGGCAGCGATGCGTAAGATATCGCCGAATCTTAACGAAAACGGTTTGGGGAAATCGGCGGCAATGTCTTCTAGAACTGTAACCTCAGTGCCGGCTGGCAGATGGAGCAGATTTAGAACCGTTTTGAATTTTTCCGGATACTCGATGAAGGAGAGTTTTAGATCGTGTGAAAGGCTGAATACATTGTCAGATTTCGCGTCTTTCACGAACAGGCGTTTCGCTTCGTCCACACGGTACACGATGACGTCATCGACGTTTCTCAGAATTTTTCTGAAAAACGGACTCGCCTCTGTGGTGTCGAGAACTTTGGCCTTGACCGGAAAAGACGGCAGGTGAGCGTCAACGAAGCTGGTGATCTTTAAAGGGACCAGCTTAGGCGGAGCGGGTGAGTCACTGGGGGCTTGGAAGGGAGGGGGTTGGTCATGGGAAGACGCGGGGAGCGGTAACGGAACAAGGGGGTGGGTTATTTTCTTCGGGGCCGGAACTTCGTACTCGTCTTCCGAGTAAGGCCTGACCCAGAGGTTGGATGAGATAGGAATGTTCCACACCGTGTCGGGGTCATTGTACGGGGACACGAGTAACATGGGCTCGGGTTTCTGGAGATGGACCACGCCCGTATACCCGGCGGGGAGGGAATCTCCGCCCTCGCCTAAAGAAGACACCGACGACGAAAACGACGAATCTAAAAGTTTTTTTGGTTTGATCACAGCCGTGTACTCATCGGAAATTTCCGGTGCTATTTTTACACCGGCGCGTGAATCACCCTCGACGAGCCTCAACCTCCGCTGCACGGGAGCGAGTTCTATCAGCTCCTTGAGTGAGTACTCACGCTCGTCTTTCAGAGGGAAAAAATTACCCCGGCACTCGGAGGACAAAGTGATGTAATGTCCATTCTCGTCTTTCACCTTCAACCCATCTTGACCGTCTTTTAAATCCTTAACGATCTCCACAAACCTAAACCTATCCCCGGGCTTGACCGAATGACCTGGAAGGTAAGGATCTTCATAGAGGGTCGTCGCCTCGAAATACGTCGGGCTGTCTAGTAGTAAATCCGACACCGTCGGGTAGGAGATCATGGACACCGCTCGGTTATCCGACCCGGAGTCCTTCGGGGGTAGGACCAAAAATTTGTGGGGGTAGTCCAAGGGAAGCCGGACCTCGGTCCAAGAACGGGAACCTTCATCCTTGTACGACACGGTAACTCTCCTAACGGGGTCGCAGGACTTGAGAAGGATAACGTCCCCTTTTGAAATCTGCACGGTTTTACTCAAGTAACTTCCGTCCGTCACACAAACACACTCAGGTAGAGCGAAGGTCCTCACGAATTCACTTAAATCCAACGAATTCAAACTCAATTTTGATCCGATTTCCGTGTTCCCCCCTCCGCCACAGCCACTGGCCGCCATGTTGTGTGCTATAAGTCTCACACAGCAAGTACACACACACCAGGCCAAGTTGACACTCGCGTAGCGTCACCAGCCGTCATCGATTTTTTTTTTATGATCCAGACATACCTGCCGTGACCTATTTACACGTATCAAATGGGAATAATCCAAATATTTTATAGAGACTATTTATTTAAGGGTTGCGTCCCTTTTTACACTTGTCTTTTCTTTCAAAAGTTAACATCATTCGGAGCTTTAATTTTAATACCACTTCACAATATCACATCTTCGATTAACATTTTTAACAATAAGAAACAAATACGTATATATATATATATATATATATATATATATATATATATATATATATATATATATATATATATATATATATATATATATATATATATATATATATATATATATATATATATATATATATATATATATATATATATGAATTAACACAAATAAAATGCATTCTTCAGAAATAAAATTAGAATTAACCTAGATAACATTGATTTATCTAACAATTACAATTGTACCCATTTTAAGAGATCAAGTTTTTATGTTAGAGACTTAGAGAATCTACCACACTTCATATTTATAGGCCTACAGAACACAACACCAATTCACATGTGTAGATATACAGAACCCAACCCACTTCACAAGTATACGCCTAGAGAACCCAACCCCACTTCACATGTGTATACAGAACCCAACCACATTTCATTACAGACTACATAACATGTGTCTATACTGATCCCCCATCATCTCACATATATAAGCCTACATAAGCCCACCCTAAATTTAACACATATAAGCCTACATAAGCCCACCCTAAATTTAACACATATAAGCCTACATAAGCCCACCCTAAATTTAACACATATAAACCTACATAAGCCCACCCTAAATTTAACACATATAAGCCTACATAAGCCCACCCTAAATTTAACACATATAAGCCTACATAACCCCACCCTAAATTTAACACATATAAGCCTACATAACCCCACCCTAAATTTAACACATATAAGCCTACATAACCCCACCCTAAATTTAACACATATAAGCCTACATAACCCCACCCTAAATTTAACACATATAAGCCTACATAACCCCACCCTAAATTTAACACATATAAGCCTACATAACCCCACCCTAAATTTAACACATATAAGCCTACATAACCCCACCCTAAATTTAACACATATAAGCCTACATAACCCCACCCTAAATTTTACACAAATAAGCCTACATAAGCCCACCCCAAATTTAACATATATAAGCCTACATAACCCCACCCCAAATTTAACATAAATAAGCCTACATAACCCCACCCCAAATTTAACATAAATAAGCCTACATAACCCCACCCCAAATTTAACATAAATAAGCCTACATAACCCCACCCCAAATTTAACATATATAAGCCTACATAACCCCACCCCAAATTTAACATATATAAGCCTACATAACCCCACCCCAAATTTAACATATATAAGCCTACATAACCCCACCCCAAATTTAACATATATAAGCCTACATAACCCCACCCCAAATTTAACATATATAAGCCTACATAACCCCACCCCAAATTTAACATATATAAGCCTACATAACCCCACCCCAAATTTAACATATATAAGCCTACATAACCCCACCCCAAATTTAACATATATAAGCCTACATAACCCCACCCCAAATTTAACATATATAAGCCTACATAACCCCACCCCAAATTTAACATATATAAGCCTACATAACCCCACCCCAAATTTAACATATATAAGCCTACATAACCCCACCCCAAATTTAACATATATAAGCCTACATAACCCCACCCCAAATTTAACATATATAAGCCTACATAACCCCACCCCAAATTTAACATATATAAGCCTACATAACCCCACCCCAAATTTAACATATATAAGCCTACATAACCCCACCCCAAATTTAACATATATAAGCCTACATAACCCCACCCCAAATTTAACATATATAAGCCTACATAACCCCACCCCAAATTTAACATATATAAGCCTACATAACCCCACCCCAAATTTAACATATATAAGCCTACATAACCCCACCCCAAATTTAACATATATAAGCCTACATAACCCCACCCCAAATTTAACATATATAAGCCTACATAACCCCACCCCAAATTTAACATATATAAGCCTACATAACCCCACCCCAAATTTAACATATATAAGCCTACATAACCCCACCCCAAATTTAACATATATAAGCCTACATAACCCCACCCCAAATTTAACATATATAAGCCTACATAACCCCACCCCAAATTTAACATATATAAGCCTACATAACCCCACCCCAAATTTAACATATATAAGAATACATAACCCCACCCCAAATTTAACATATATAAGAATACATAACCCCACCCCAAATTTAACATATATAAGAATACATAAACCCACCCCAAATTTAACATATATAAGAATACATAAACCCACCCCAAATTTAACACATATAAGCCTACATAACCCAAACCCACTTCACATTTATAAACCCAAAGAAGCCCACCCCACATACAACATAAACATGTAACATTTGTGGGATAAATAACGTTATTGGAGACCCCCCCCCCCCCCCCATAGACCCCTCGGTAGATACATAAAGGTTGAGCGGGGGGTGCAAAATCGAAAGTTTGTCCTCGGGGGACGCTACTCCTCTGATATATACATTTATAATGCGGGAAAAAATTTGAACCCCCCCCCCCCCATGAGACGATCCTGGCTACGCCACTGATTCAAACAATTAAAAATAAAATACTTGGCCCCATAGTTGTGATGGACGATTGGGTTGATTGAAAACCCAGGCGCACCTGCAAGGACTGTGCAGCAAGATAGGAAGTGCCAGTTGTTGCCCATGATGATATTAGGCCCTTCTCTCCACACAGCTGATGGGTCTAAGGGAGAGAACTACCTATACAACTTAGCGTCGCACCGCGCAGGCTAAAAGGAATGTTTGGTTCGTAATTCTTTCAAGGGAATTAACTCCTGTTTTATTTCAGAGTTTTCTCTCCTCATCTACAAGGGCTCGAACTCAGGTCTTTTGAGTTCCCACCCAACCATGCTTATTATCACTAAAACAACAGAGTATAAAAATAACACGAACTTTGGACATTTATATTTAAAAAAGTCGTGGTAGATAAAATGTTAATAAGATAAGTTCTGCTTATCTGGTATAAGCTTCGGTGTAAGTATGTTACTAGTATCGGTATGTATTGTGGTAAGGGTGCAGGTGGGCTAATTAGTCTAGATAATTAACGAATTATTTTTTACGGTTTCTGCACAAGCTGTTAACAGATAACATCAATAACAATAGACATTGTGGAAAAGAATGGTTCTTAACTTAAACTATAAACAAATGACACTATCCTAACCTAATCAATCTCTAACACTCCTAACACTTTTATCAAGCCGATATGGTATTATCATTTTTATAAGAGCCATCTCAAGAGTCAATCGATTATACGCCTTCTTTCTTTTTTTCTTCGTTATTATTTTTTTTTTGGCGGGATTTCCCCAACAAAATTAAGTATTGCGTATCAACAAGTTATGCGCAATATGGCCAGTTCCATTGACCCCTATTCAAGCCTGCTTTTCTTTTTGGATTTGCTACCATATCCTTTGTTTATACAAGAACAAATTCAAATTTATTCAAATTTATTCAAATTTCAAATTTATTCAAACAACGGTTAGAATTGTAGGCACAAAGGCCTTTTTTCACATTGGCCGTTTAAACAAATAAAACAATTCAATAACACATAGCAGTAACACATAGCACTAATAAACCGGGAGTGATCTCCCCTAAACTTTCTCGAATATTCTTATATAAAATAACAAGGGATGGGAACTCGGGCTATAGAAATGATTTTTAATCCATTTTAAATACTTAAAGTTTTAAAAATAGAATAAAATCTCGTAGACAAATTAATTGCACACCAAGTGAACGCTAAATAAAAAACGCATAATAGTGCGCAATATTATTAGTACTTTAAAAATTTACATTAGTTTTTTGAGAAATCGGAAGTAGCGTAAATTACTACTTCCGGTCAACGGAAATTACTCAAAATTTAACAGAAGGTAGAGAATTAGATCTTTTACTTACATGTGAAATTTCATTTATCTATCTGAAATAGTACTCAAGTTATAGGCTTTTGAAAAATTCAAAGTAGAAAAAGTACCACTTCCGGTTGTCGGAAATCGCTCAAAAGTTGATACGGATCTACGATTTTGATATAATACTTATATATGAAATTTCATCAACCTAGCTGTAACGGTACTCAAGTTATCGTGTTTACACACGGACACACAGACACACACACAGACATACGGACAAGATTGCAAAATTATGTTTTTCCGTATCAGTGAGGTGTAAAACGTCGAGATTTGTAAAAATCTCGATTTTTTTTTGCACGATTACAATACTTTCTCTATACTACGTAGGGCCTATATACGAGAAAGTAAAAATGTGGAATAAAGAAACAATGGTACATAGCTATCATACATAATGAGATAAAAAAGAGAATATAATAGACGAGCCGGCCCGCGGCATAACATACGCCGCTATTTAGTTGTTTCTAATTTTCAATAATTCATAATTTGTGAATTCGACAGTACCAACGCTGACACTGAAAATATTTCATAACCCCCCCCCTTCCTTTCCCCCCCCTCCCCCCCCCCCCCCCCCCCCCCTACGTTTAAAATCGTTGGCTCTGCTTGTAAACATTTAGAGTGAACACAGCTCACTAAAACCATGTAGGGGTGGGGAGGTAGGGAGAGCGTTTGCAGCTTGTTTTCTAACGGCTCGAAGAGGAGAATTATATATATAGATGAATGAGAAATGTTACAATGAGTCAGTTAGGTCATTAAATAATTTTAGTTTTAGTTTAGATTTGAATATATTTTCAGATCTAGATAGCTTTATTTTATTAGGAAGATTGTTCCACAAATTAGAACCAGAGTAGGCGAAGCTATGTTTTTGGAAAAAGGTTGAATAAGGGAATGGTAAATTAAGACGACGATTTAATTTTATG